ATCGTCGCGTCTTCCGTCGTCGACGCCGGCATGCTACCGAGCCCGCCCATGTCGCTGACTCGCGCTGAAGCGCCCGATGGGAAATGCCCGGCGGTCCGCGCCACCACGGCCGCGACGGTCGCGCCAAACTAGCCGGCCGCTCTGCTCGAGCGCGGCAGCGGCGATGCGCAGGCCGGCGCCGAGCAGTCATCGCGGGGGTGGGTGCGGTGATTGCGCGACCACTGGAGTTGACGCGTTCAAATTCGGCAAGGCGAATGTCACTCCGCGTGGAGCCACGCGTGTATTGCACGCGATAATCTTGTACTTTCTTACCAAAGATCTACTATACCACTCCCCCGGCTTATCGGTTTTTTTTTTATGAAAATCCTATGCCTTTCAAATGTGAACTCATATCATCCCAGCCGAGCTGGCCGGCATCGACCGCTCCCCTATCCCCGCCCATCCCTATCCAATAATGCCATGCGCGCGCTCGTCATCAGTTCCCAAGAATCCTTTCCTAGCAACGAAATACAATCCACACGCGCGCGGCGTCACGCGAATGCCCCTCTTTCACCACGAAGCCGTACATTTCGTCGGGAACTCCTGATCGAGCTTCCCGGAATCATATAAACCATCCGTGCGCGCGCCGTTGCGGCTTCTTGCGAACGCCTTCGGTTACTTCAATATGCTTACCACATGCGATCAAGCGGTCCTCTGCGCGCGCATGTCGGAATCATTCAGACGCCCTTGCGCGCGAGCTGGGGGGCACAACGACTGTCAGATAATTCCATGCGGGCCGCTCGCGCCCGTCAGCCGCGCGCGCGTGTCGGCATCCTTCCAAACCGTCATCACCGGCACGTGGAGAACATCATCGTCATCGGCGTGATTCGCATCGGCGTCGTCTTTGGTCTTGCACCCACATCGGTACTATCATCATGGTGCCTGCCGTTGTCGACGTCGTCAAGATCCGCGCTCACCCGAGTCACCGAATCGCACTGAAGCGCAAGCATCAACGCGACCCGCGAGACGCAAGTCCCCAGCGGTCAATGCCACCGCGGCCGCGTCGGTGACAACATTATAACCGGCCGGTCTGCGCGCGAGCCTGCGCGCGTTAGTACGGCTGCGGCGACGCGCCAGCCAACGCCAAACGTTCATCGACACCGATGCCGCAAAGGTTTTGGCAACCAAGTTGCGGTTGGATGGGCAGGCCGATTGCGCGAGCAATGGGTGTGACAACCCACTGCGGACAATACTGCCGCATGAATTGTACCACGCACACCGGATAATAAAATAACGCAAAGATGATGCCACGATGATTCTAGACAAATGCACTTATATAAAACATGTTGTATATTTATACTATCCCACAATACCCTTCCACATGTACAGCATAAAATAAACTGCACCTCGTGAGAAAAATATGGGTAAACTACAAGAACACAGCGATCTCACAGTGCACAGCATCTACTGTATATCATCTGTTGCACCAAACACAGCGATCTCACAGTACAGACAACACCAAATATATTGGCCCTCGTACGTTGCACAACATATATTATGCCACGTAGATTGTTAAAGAACCGTGTATGGGGATCACGCTGGATGGCATGGCTGTTACACGGGTGGACTCGAATGCTATTTCAACGAGGGGATTCACGCGCCCCTGGCCCGATGAAAAACTATACAAGGCCAGCAAATTGCTTGGGCCATCTGTCATAGGAAATCATACACGTGCGCGAATCAGTCTCAAACGGAAGCGCCATGTCGGGGTAAATTGTGACGAAACGTCGAGCTTTACCGTGGCAGAACGTGAGGAGGGAGGAGGGAGGCTGGGGATGATGGGGGCGAGAGAGGGAGGATGGGGAGGGAGGAGGTTGGAGGATAAGCTAGGTGCGCTCGCGCCACGTCTGACATCCGACCCCTCCCACCCATCCCTTCCCATTGCGCTGATGTTTCTCTATGCGCCGATGGGTGTCAGAACGGATATGGATCCCCAAGCAAGGACTCCATTATCCTATGCGCAATCGGAAAACAGGAGTTGCGTACATTGAGGTGTTGGATGAACAGGAAAATGCGGAGGGACGATGACGAGGATGAACAGCAACACCAGGAAAGGGAATGGGAGGAGCAAGATGACCAGGTTGACCAGAGAAGGCGGGAAGGGGGAAGGAGAAGGGCGAGAGGAGGGAGGAATGATGCAAATATACGACCACAGGGCGAATATGAGTTCGCTTGTGGTACGGGAATTTGCTCCAGGAGCGGTATACGTGCCCCTGCAAAAAGGGAACATGCAAGTAGACGGCGCCAAGGCGACACCAATCAATTGCAATGAAGTCTCAGACGGGAGCGCCATGCCAGAGTAAATGTTTACGCTATCTCCAGCGAGAGGGGGAATATGAGGGTAGCGTGGATGAGAACCAGTAGGACGAAGATGGGCGAGGAGACCAGTATAATGAACTGAATCAGGCGCGGGGAAGATGGAGGAGGAGGAGGAGGAGGGGTAGGAGGAAGTGGAGAAACTGACGAGGAAGAGGGCGAGAAAAAGGACGACAAGAACGACGACGAATGCGACAACGGAGGCAATGAGAATTACGAGAGCGCAGGCCAATTAGCAGCAGGAAGGCGTTGACGCGCGAACAGTACTTGGAACCACCCTAGCGCTGAAGACGCTGCTTGGGAATACTGGGCTCTGGCGATAATTTCCAAGCCAGGTGCAAGTCTGCACCAAGCGGGCGCTTGCACCTGCTCGCAACAAAATGCGTCCAGTCCTCGACGATGACGGCCCTCTCTCCGCTCTGAGGCGCTTCGACCAGCTGGCCGCCATGACCACTCTCGGGGGCGTGCAAACATGGATCGGGGGAGGTGCCCTCCCCAAAATGCAGCCGGCGCCGCCTCGCTCAGCGGCGGGAATCCGCGATTGCCCATGGAAACGGGACACGTCGCTGATCCACGCCCTCTCAATCCATGTTTGCGATCGCCTGATCTCCACTCTGAGACGCTTCGACCGGCTGGCCGCCCTCACAACTCTTCATATGCTCCGACAGCGATGCCCACAGCTGCACAGCAGAGGGGGCTGTGGTGTCTGAGCGAGACGACGAGGAGCTGACTCCCCTGCTGGGAGGGCGGGGGGGGGGGGCGAGGAGCGGCGCAAGAGCTCGGCCATACATGGTCCAGGGCTTGGGCCCCCCCCCCCCCTCCCCCCCAATGCTGATGCCATTGGGCCCCCCCCCCCCCCGCGCGATGGTCCCCCCCGCCCCCCCCTGTGGGCGTGGCGTGGTGCTGCGCTGCGGTGCCCCCCTCCCCCCCCCTGTGGATGTGGTGTGGTGCTGTGGTGGTTCAGAGGTGGGCGTGGCGTGGTGCTGCGCTGCGCTGCCCCCCTCCCCCCCCCTGTGGATGTGGTGTGGTGCTGTGGTGGTTCAGAGGTCGTCGTCGTCGTCGTCGTCCTCCTCCTCGTCGTCATCGTCGTCCTCGTCGTCGTCGTCGTCGTCGTCGTCGTCGTCGTCGTCCTCATCGTCGTCGTCGCCGTCGTCATCGTCGTCATCGTCGCGCCGCCGCCACCGCCGGCGTCGTCGCCGCCGCAGCCGTCGTCGTCGTCGTGGTCGTCGCCGTCGTCGTCGTCGTCGCCGTCGTCGTAGTCGTCGCCGTCGTCGTCGTCGTCGTCGTCTCTGGGACCATACCATCTGGGAGGGGGGGGCCCGAGGAATCCTGGGACCATACCATCTGGGGGGGGGAGGGGGGGGGGGCCCGTGGGCCCGGAGCCCGGGCTCATACATAAAGCGTCGAGGCCCTCCTCTCCTTTTCCTCCGCCTCCTCCTCCTTCTCCTCCGCCTCCTCCTCCCTCCTCCTTCTCCTCCCTCCTCCCTCCTCCTCCTACTCCTCCTCCTCCTCCCCCTCCTCCTCCTTCTCCTCCTCGTCCTCCTCCTCCTCCACCTCCTCCTCCTCCACCTCCTCCTCCTCCCTTTTGAAATAAGGGAGGAGGGACAGAAAGGGGGAGGGGAAGAGCACGAATGACCGCCCAAAGGCCGCCGTCCTCAGACGGCTACTAGACACCTCAACACTACCATTGCACTAGTGCCCCCACGACAGCCTTACGCCCGCCCCCACCAGCACTCTCCCCACCAGGTCCCCCCGACCCCACGAAAAAAAACATCAGCTAACCCCACAAAACATTCAACCACCCAGGACGAAAGACACGCTTGGCTCATAGCAGAGGCTTATGGGGAGGGGACTTGGGACGGGAAGGTGTATTGCAGCATCATTGATGCATCCTGGGCTTGTTGGACCTCCTCGTTTTCGTTTCCAGGCAGCTTGGAACGTGTGCGTACGGGGAGACAAATGCATGGCGGAGGCACAAGGATAAGAACAGTTCACGGGTGGACCCTCCTTCAGAGGACTTCGATGCTGTAGCAGTGTCCCCTGGCTCACTGGACAGAAAGAGACGAGACGAGAAGACGGGGGAGACTTCTGGCTCAAGCCCGCTGCATACGCTCCCAAACCCAACAGGCTTCCCAACTGACCAGCCGGAGCGTCAGCGTGGTGTGGCCTCTGGCTCTTTCTGGCTCGCTCGCGGGCGTCCCTCGTCCCTCCGCCTCTTCCCCCTCGCCCCTCTCGGGGGCGCGCAAACATAAATTAGCGATCCCTGGATTTGGCGTGCGGTCGCCAAATCCATGGATCGTGGGAGGTGCCCTCCCCAAAATGCGGCCGGTGCCGCCTCCTTCGGCGGCGGAAATCCGCGACCCCCCACAGAAACGGGACCCGTCGCTAATCTGATCGAGGAAAAATCAAAACATATTAGAAAAATGCCCCAACATGGTTAGCACATAATTTAAAAATCGTCCCGACTATTTTTTGTCTATCGTGCCCGACTTAACGCTAATCCACGCCCCCCTGATCCATGTTTGCGATCGCCGGACCCTCTCGGCCACGACGACGACGGCTACCTTCCACCGGCCCCTTGGCCGCCCCCGGCCGATGAGCAGCAGCGCCCCTGGCGAGAGACGACAGGAGGGGGGCGGGACGGCTCCTGCGCGAACCAATCCTGGAACCACTCCTGGCGGGTGCTGGACAGCCGGGCTGCAGGACTCGGGGTGGAGGACGTGTCTTGCCTGTCCGAAGTGCAGCCTGGAGCCCCATATCAAGATTTCTTTGAAACGCGGTCCTCGCTCCTCGTGCCTCGTACGCGCTTCCTGGAATCCGCCGGCCCCGTATGGTGTGAGATGTCCCCCCCTCCCCGAACTCCTCCCCCGGGAGCCCGGTCTGGTTGATTTGGAAGGGGGAAGTGTCCCCCAGGATCCGGGCGAACGCATCCCGAGCGGCAGAGGGCCCCAAAACAGGCCAAGAGGGCCCCAAGAGGCCCTTGGGGCCGTCCACGAGGGCCACGAACCCTTGAAAAATCGATCCACAACGCCCACGCTGGCCTCCAGACGGCCCAGCAAGCCCCCAAGACGCCCCAGAAAGCCCCCAGGAGGCGCCTCAAGAGGGCGTCCAGAAGCAAACATCGCCCCATGCCAACTGGAAAATGCATATGTTTCACCAGACGACGCAGACGTCCCAGACGACGCAACGTCCCAGACGACGCAAGAGGCCTGCAAGTTCGCCCCAAGACGGGCCAATTGGCCCCCAGGAGGACTCCAAGACGACCCAAGAAGGCCCCAAGACGGCCCAAGAAGCCCCCAAGACGGCTCAAAATGGCCCCAGGACAGCGCCAAGAGGGGGCCCAGAGGGGGAACGCGAACGGACATGTCGAGTCATCTATCCCAAGACGCCTCCGGGTTGACCCACGAAGCCCCCAACAGGCCCCCAAATGGCCGCAGAAAGCCCCAAAGAGGCTCCCAGGAGACCCCCAAGTGGTTCAATAACTGCGTCCAAAACGCCCCCGAGACGCCTCCCGCGAGACCCCGAGCGGCCTCAAACCCGCAACCCAGGCACGGTGGCGGGATGTGCTGGAGACCGTTCGATCCGCCGCCCCCTTTTGCTTTAGCAAAGGGGTGCCCGGCGTGCCAAACGATATGGCGTTTGGTTTTCGTTTTTTCCACAAAAACTCCCCCTGGGGCTCCGGCAAGTCCCGCCGGCCACCCGGAAACTGCATCAGTCAATCCCTGAAACGGCCGCTTCGCTCGGAACATCCCCAATTATCCCGGCAAAGCAACCTAACAGCGATGTGTAGAAGCATATCTGAAAGCATTCCCCTTAAGATTCAGATGAAAATCCAGTTGTCGAATTCTGCTGTTCTCGCAGTCGTAGTCGCATTCGCGATGACAGTCGCAGCGGCAACGGCAGTCGCAGTCACAGCCTCAGCCTCAGCCTGCCTCCTCCTCCTCCTCCTCCTCTTTCTCCTGCTCCTCCTCCTCCTCCTCCTCCTCCTCCTCCTCCCTCCTGCTCGTCCTCGTTCTCGTCCTCCTCGTCTTGCTCGTCCTCCTCCTCCTGGTGCTCTCTCCTCCTCCTCCTCCTCCTCCTCCTCCTCCTCCTCCCTCCTGGTGGTCCTCGTTCTCCTCCTCCTGGTGCTCTCCCCCCCCCTCCTCCTCCTCGTCCTCCTCCTCCTCCTCCTCCTCGTCCTCCTCCTCCTCTTCCTCCTCCTCCTCCTCCTCCTCCTCCTCCTGGTAGTCCTCCCCCTCCCCTCCTCCTCCTCCTCCTCCTCCTCTTCCTGGTCGTCCTCGTTCTCGTCCTCCTCGTCTTGCTCGTCCTCCTCCTCCTGGTGTTCTCTCCTCCTCCTCCTCCTCCTCCTCCTCCTCCTCCTCCTCCTGGTGGTCCTCGTTCTCCTCCTCCTGGTACTCTCCCCCCCCTCCTCCTCCTCCTCCTCGTCCTCGTCCTCCTCCTCCTCCTCCTCCTCCTCCTCCTCCTCCTCCTCCTCCTCCTCCTCCTCCTCCTCCTGGTACTCCTCCCCCTCCCCTCCTCCTCCTCCTCCTCTTCCTGGTCGTCCTCCTCCTCCTGGTCGTCCTCCTCCTCCTGCTCGTCCTCCTCCTCCTCCTGCTCGTCCTTCTTCTCCTGCTCCTCCTGCTCCTCGTCCTGCTCCTGCTCGTCCTCGTCCTCCTGGTCTTGCTCGTCCTCCTCCTCGTCGTGCTCTTGCCCCTGCTGAAAATGTGGCCCAGGAATGGGAGTTCTGGGAAGTCGAAGAGCACGAAGTTGCCTACAGTTGGCTACGGGCATTCAAAATGTGGCCCGGGAATGGAGTTCTGGGAACTCGAAGAGCACGAAGTGGCCTACAGTTGGCTCCGGGCATTCAAAATGTGGCCCGGGAATGGAGTTCTGGGAACTCGAAGAGCACGAAGTGGCCTACAGTTGGCTCCGGGCATCCAAAATGTGGCCCGGGAATGGAATTCTGGGAACTCGAAGAGCACGAAGTGTGTGACTGTTGCATCCGGCCCTCTAGAATGTGGCCCGGGAATGGCGTTCTGGGAACTCGAAGAGCACGAAGTGTGTGACTGTTGCATCCGGTTATTCTAAAGGTGGCCCGGGAATGGCGTTCTGGGATCTCGAAGAGCACGAAGTGTGTGACTGTTGCATCCGGTTATTCAGAATGAGCCTGGGAATGGAGTTCTGGGAACTCGAAGAGCACGAAGTGTGTGACTGTTGGTGAAAAACGAGATCGGCACAGGCCCGCCCGGCAACTCCCAACACCTGCCCGGACCCCCCTGTGGAGTGATCTGTGAGCTCTTTTGAGTCAACTAGAAACCTATCAGTCTTCGCTGTTAGGTAAAAAATCACGAAGATGGCCCAAGATGGCCTCCAAGTCCGCCCAAGATGGTCCCAGACGGCCTCCAAGACGGCCCAAGAGAGTCCAAAAAGGCCCAAGACGGCCCAAGAGGCCTCCAGAGGCCTCCCAGACGGCCCAAGAGGCCTCCAAGAGGTCCTCCAGGAGGGCCCGAAGAGGCCGAAATCATTGTTTTTTAGTATGTTTTTGAAGGATTTTGGAATTTGCTTCTTCTCGGCATTCCGACGGCTCAAGACGGCCCAAGAGGCCCCCAAGATCGCCCAAGAAGCCCCCAAGAGGGCCCCATGACGGCCCAAGTGGACTCCAAGACGGCCCCAAGAGGACCCCAAGATGGCCCAAGAGGCCTCCAACACGCCCAAGATGGCCTCCAAGACGCCCAAGATGGCCTCCAAGACGGCCCCGAAGCGCCCCAAGAGGGCCCCCAGTCGGCTCAGAAAGGCCTCCCAAACGGCTCCCGACGTGCCAGGAACCCACCAAGATGGCCGAAGTTGGCTCGAAGCTGGCCCAAGACGGCCCAAGAGGCCCCCAAGAGGGCCTCCAGGAAGGTCAGAAAAGGCAAACAACCTTTTATTTTCCAGAGGTTTTCGAAGGATTTTGGCATTTGCTTCTTTTCGGCCTTCCGACGGCCCGAGACGGCCCAAGAGGCCCCAAAGATGGCCGAAAGATCGCCCAAGAGGCCTCCAAGATGGCCCCAGAACGGCCCAAGAGGGCCCCAAGACGGCCCCAAGAGGCCCCCAAGACGGCACAGGAGGCCTTTAAGACGCCCAAGATGGCCTCCAAGACGGCCCTGGAGCAGTCCAAGAGGGCCCCAAGTCGGCCCATAGAGGCCCCACAAACTGCTTCCGACGGCGTCAGACGGACCAGGAGCCCACCAAGACGGCCGAACATGGCCCTAAGATGGCCCAAGACGGCCCAAGAGGCATCCAAGAGGGCCTCCAGGAAGGCCCGAAAAAGCCAAAATCATTGATTCCCCACGAGTTTTTGAATGATTGTGGCATTTGCTTGTTTTTCGGCCTTCCGACGGCCCGGGTGCCCCCAAAGATCGCCCAAGAGGCCCAAGACACGGCCCCAAGAGGCCCCCAAGACGGCCAAAGAGGTCTCCAAGACGCTCAAGATGGCCTCCAAGACGGTCCAAGAGCCCTCCAAGACGTCCTCCAAGAAGGCCCGAAAGGGTCAAAATGGCCTCCAGACGGCCAAGATGACCTTCAAGATGCCCACGTGTTCCCCGAAGGCTTTCCAAACCGATTCGGGGAACACATGGTCCGATAGCTTGGCAGGTCTGGCCTCAACGTTCGGCCACATAGGCGCTTCCAAAAAGGCAGGGGGCGGCGGTGATTCGCCGTAGGCGTCTTCGATCCGCCGCCCCCTGTCGATTCATCGTAGGGGTGCCTGGCGTGCTGAACCCTCTCGGTTTTGGTTTTGTTTTTTGTTTTTTCCAAAAAAACTCCCCCTGGGCTCCGGCCCGTCCCGCCGGCCACCCGGAAGACCCGGTTGCAAACGCCAGAAACGGCCGTTTCGCGCGGGACATCCTCAAAAAGTCGCGGAGATGGCCCAAGATGGCCTGCAAGATGCCTCCAAGACACCCAAGATGGCCTCCAAGACGGCTAAGATGGCCCCAAGATGCATCCAAGACGGCCCAAGATGGCCCCAATATGTTCTAAGATGGCCCAAAAGGCCCGCAAGAGGCCTCCAAGACGGTCCAAGAGGCCTCCAAGAGGTCCTCCAGGAAGGCCCGACGAGGCAAAAAAAATATGATTTTCCTAGGGTTTTTGAAGGATGTTTGCATTCGCGCCTTTTCGGCTTTCCGACGGCCCGTGACGGCCCCAGAGGCCGCCAAGGTCGCCCAAGAGACCTCCAAGATGGCCCCATGACGGCCCAAGAGGGCCCCAAGACGGCCCCAAGATGCCTCCAACACGGCCCAAGAGGCCTCGAAGACGCCCAAGATGGCCTCTCAGACGGCCCTGGAGCACCCCAAGAGGGCCCCAAGTCGGCCCAGAAGGGCCCCCGAAACGGCTTCCGACGGCGTCAGACGGGCCAGGAGCCCACCAAGATGGCCGAAGGTGGCTCGCAGCTCTCCCAAGACGGCCCAAGAGGCCTCCAAGAGGGTCTCCAGGAAGACCAGAAAAGGCTACCAATAGCTTGGCAGGTCTGGCCTCAACGTTCGGCCACATAGGCGCTTCCACAACGGCAGGGGGCGGCGGTGATTCGCCGTAGGCGTCCTCGATCCGCCGCCTCTTTTTTATTTATCAAAGGGGTGCCTGGCGTGTTAGACCCTCTCGGTTTTGGTTGTGGTTCTTTTTCAAAACAAAAAAAAAAAAACGCCCAGTAGACGGCCT